CTGTGTTGTATAAGAAAGCAGACTGAGCACAGGCCAGGGGAGCAAGCCAGTAAACAGCAGTCCTCTGTGGTCTGTGCTTCAGCTCCTGCCTCCAGTTTCTTGCCTGAGTTTCTGCCTTGATTTCTCTCAGTGATGAACTGTGACCTGGGAGATGTGAGCTAATTAAGACCATTTCCTCTTCAAGTTGTTTGGTCAGTGTTTTTATCACAGCAATAGAAAGTAACTAGCACAGGGCACTGTCTAATCACCTCTATAAGGCTGTCAAAGAGAAAGAGTATTTTGGAGGTAGTGGGCCTGGGCTGGCCTTTGAGGAAATGCCCCTGACTTATGGCTCTGCTGATTCTATACAAATTTAGTTGCCCTGTAGGAGATATTTTAAGCTGATAGGATCATTTCCATGTTGACTGTTCATCCCTCATTAATTGGGGGAATTTTCACAGATGTCAGCTTGAAGAAAGATGCAATAACACTGGACACCAAATCTGGAAGACAGCCCAGGGGGTGGAGACACTCACCACAATCTCCTCCTGGTGAGTTACTGCCAGGACACTGGGTCGGTATGTGCATTTCTGAGATGGAAATTCTAAGCCATTGGCCTTGCCTGACTTTCTCCCTCAGCCTGTCGTAGTGGTGGCTGTGGGTGGCAGCATAGCAGAGAGCGAGAGAGGTGCTGTGAGTGACGGATTGCCAGACCTTGCCCCAATTGCCTCAGTCCACGTGGAGCACCTTGTCGGTGTGGTGAGCATGTAGAGGGAAATCCCTTGACTCTGGGGACTTGAAAGGCTGGTTCTGTCACACCCAGCAGAGCCATAGGATGCCATGGACAGGAAGATTGGCTTTCTGTCCTCTCAACCAAGTCACTTGTAGCCAGGCTCTGTGCCTTCCTGCCTTTTCCTGGGCAATGTTTTAGATCCAATAGCCTAAAGTTTTCTATGCCACATGTCATTCTCTTACCAACGTTAATAAATTTTGAAACGTGTCCTGCTGCATGTTCTTGGTTTTCTTTTGTTTCTTTGTTTACTGATGCCTCTGTGCACCACAAGGTTAGATACAGAGAAGACAGGTCATAGAGACAAATCTTCCTTCCAGCTCAACTCACTGAAGCCCAGCTGAGGACTATGAGATGGTGGGTAGGGACTTAGAACAGAGGCTGAACCATCTCATGGGTGGTTTCGGGCTGGGGCTTAAAAGGGAAGGGGGCTGTGAGAATTGAGGTGGTCAAGGACCATTTGGGCTGGGGTTTTGCAAGAGAGGAGGAGGATGGGCTGTACAGAGGTGGAGTCAGGGACTGAAGGCTTGGAGGAAAGCATTGAGTTCTGGCTGGTGAAAGGGAACCAGGATCTGAAGGAGGTGCTTTGAGCAGAGGTGGGAGTGGGATGTATGGAGAACACCTGCTCACACAGAACTCTGGGACACAGTAGGAAAATGCCAGGTATGGAAGTTTCTGCTACACCGACACATATGTGGTCTTTTGAGATGGTGTTCAGTATTAGTCATGGTAAAGATGTGTTCAGCATGCATGTGTGACACCACCTGTGACCGTGTGCCTCTCTGTCCTCATTTTTCAGGTACTGTACAGAGAAACTCTCCCCTCTCCCTAAGGCCATAATACAAAGGGGAGAGTAGACTTGTCCATTCCTTCTGTTGATTTTGCCCACCCAAACTGGGGCTGAGGTGGAAACATGGGCCAGGCCCTCAGAGGTCAGCAGGCCTTGCAGGAGGCCTTCTTGGGCTGAGACATCCACTCTGCTAGCCATTTCTGGCAGCGGTCTTTGTGTCTGCCTTGCTTCTGATCTTAATTCCTCCCAAGGACCATCTCACATCTCTCAGTTGCTTCCTGGGAGATCTCCTCAACCTACCCCAACTC